ATACTCTTGCTTGTATCCTTGTGCAACCATACGCACCTTGTATATGTCAAGGCTACCAATGATTGAAACATTTGGGAGCACATGGATGAGGTCCCAAGTATGATTCTCTACAAGGGCCTGAATTTCTGTATCCATAGCATCTTTCTAGTGTTGGACTGTCATAGTCTGCTGATGGTCTTAGGAATATCTTTAGATGACAAGACAGTAGAGGAGCAATGATTGGTGGGAAAACCATAGTGGTTAGGGGGTCTAGAGATACGAGAGGAACGATGTGGAGGAGAAGATGAAATAGGTTTTGAGGAAGAAGGCTCTAGATTAGTACTTATAGTGTTAGGAGGAGTGGAACCATGAGCTGGTGGGGAAGGGGGCAAAGGTGCAGGTGCTGGGGCAGCCAATCATTTCCTTACATATTGGTGAAGAAGATTCCAAGAAGATAGATGTGGACTTCATAATACCTGTAGCATCAAAAGAATGCAAAATAGAGATAGGAGCAGGGAGTCTAACAATGTGAGTAAAGAAGGAAACATTCTCCAAAAAGACAACATTTCTAGAAATCCGAATCCATTGAGCTCAAGGGTCATATCAGAGAAACCCCTTATGATCTAGGCTATGTCCCATGAAAGCACATAAAGTTGATTGAGGAATAAGTTTTGTGTATTCACGAGGAAGATGAACAAAGCAAGCACAACAAAAACATGAAGCAAAGAGTAGTTGGAGGGTGATGAAATAAGCATCGAAAAGGAGAGGTATCACAGAGAACATTAGAGGGAAGCAAATTAATAAGGTATACAGCTGCTGGCTACCTCTGCCCAAAAGGACGTAGGTGCATGAGAGTTGCAATAAAGTTCTCACAACATCAAAATATGCCCATTAGGGGAGCAGTGGAGGATGTGGATGAAGGGATGCCTAAGTTCATGAAGTACTCGGTCATGATTATGGTGTGGCTAGAGATTATTTTCCAGTGAAAAAGAGGGTTGAGACAAGGGGATCCCCTTTCTCCCTTCCTTTTCACTTTAATTGCTGAAGTTCTAAGTAGGATGGTCGTGGAAGCTGATCAAAGCAACCTATTTAGAGGATGGAAGATAGGAAGACTTGAGGTGATAGTCTCACATTTGTAGTTTGCAGATGACATCATTTTATTTTGTGAGGGAGGTAATCAAGAGAGTATAAGAAATCTATGTGAGCTCATTAGTTCCTTTTAATTGATTTCCAAGTTGAATATATATTGGGGAAAAAGTTGTATGGAAGGGGTTAACTTGGAGATGAAAGTTTGAGAGGGCTAGCTAAGATTCTGGGGTGTGAGGTTAAAAAGTGGCTGTTGCAGTACTTAGGGCTACCTTTGGGAGGGAATCCAAGACCAGAAGTCTTTTGGAAACCAGTGGTGGAGAGGTTTACAAGGAAGTTGGTACTGTGGAAGAGGAATTATTTATCCATAGGTGGGAAAAAGCCCTGATTAGAATTCTATCAGTCTACATCCTATCCACCTTTAGAATTCTAGCTAGAGTAGCATTACAACTAGAAAAACTTATGATGGATTTTATTTGGGAACCTAGGGATAGAAAGAGGGATCACCTAGTTATGGGGGAGAAAGTCAAAAAACAAAGGAAAAGGGAGGTTTAGGATTGTGGAACGTAGTTCACAAGAATACTATTCTGTTAGGAAAGTGGCTTTGGAGGTTTCCATTGGAAAGACATGTTGTACAAGGTGATAGAAAGCATTCATGGGCTGATGAACAGTGGCTAGGATGCAAAGGTAGCCCCCACATCTTCCTCGAGATCTCTGTGAAAAGCAATACAAGAAGTATATCCAATCTTTATTAATTTCATTAGATTTGATGTGGGTTGTGGTTCTAGGGTGCTCTTTTGGAAAGATCTTTGGCTGGATGATGATATTCCTTTTTGTTCTCTTTTCCCTAAACTTTATTCAGTTTAGACTACAAGTTACAACCTATATCAAATTTTGTCACTTTTTCTCACGTTAGACCGAGTAGGGATTTTGGGTTCAAAAGGGGTTTGAGGGACAATGAGTGTGAGTCTCTTATTTGTTTTTCTTGATAAACTTAAGTGAGCCTTCTTGGATCAATCTTTGGAGGACACTAGAGTTTGGTCTACTTCATTTGATGGCACCTTCCCCTATGCTTCTTTTTTTAATACTCTCATGCCAACTTCTGTTGGGGGTGAAAATTTCCCAGTGAAAGAGGTTTGGAGAAAGCCCATTCCACCAAAAATTCAAGCTCTACGCTTGGAGGTTTTCTTTGGAAGGTGAACACCTATGGCATGCTTCAAAAAAAGAGGCCAAATAAATGCCTCTCCCCTCGTATGTGCATTCTTTGCTCTGTACATGGTGACTCCCTATTGCCCTTTTGTGCTCTTTGTTTGGAGATCTTTTTGTTCTCTCTTTGGTTGGAGGTGGAGTAGACCCCAGGATGTAGTAAGCCTCTTCAACCCAAACTTTCTAAGGTAGCCAACAAAAAGAGGAAGGGTTATGTGGAAATCAGTTAGGGCAGCGGTGGTGTGGACTACATGGGAGGAAAGGAAATCAAGAATTTTCAACGAGAAGTATAGGTCAAAAGAAGATCTAGCGGAGGCCATAAAGATAAAAGTTGCACACTGGGTGGAAACACTTCAGCTCTTTCAAAGTTTCTCGGTTACTGATATAGTAAGAGTGGACTGAAGTGGCACACTCTTCTGAGAAGAAAGAAAGAAAGGTGATGGAGTGGAAGCCCCCCAGGTCTCACCAAAGTCAAGCTGAATTTTCATGGGAGCTCTATAGGAAACCCAGGTCTGGCAGGCATGGGTGGTGTGATCAGAGATTCCTCAAGCAAAGTATTATCTATGTACCGAGGACCTTTAGGGGAAGGTGATTCTTTAAAGGCTGAACTATTAGCTTTGCTATAGGGGTTAAAACTTGCCGAGCAAGCAGATCTTAAGAATGTAGAGATAGAAGGGGACTCAAGAATAGTGATATCATGGACCAATTCTAGGGGTAATGCTCCTTTGATTTATAGACATCCCCTAAGGGAGATAGTAAGCCTAGCAAGAAAACTCAATGCCTCGTTTGCCTGGATCAAGAGAACTGCAAATGGATATGGCTGATTCATTAGCCAAACAGGGAGTTCATAGGTAGCAGCTTTTCTGGTCTTTATTGTAACACTTTGTGGTGCAATGTCTGCGTTCTACTTGCTGTAATCCTGTAACTGATTCTCTTGAATAAAATTCTCCTTTTGCTAATAAGAAAAGACAAAAAAAAAAAAGTAGGTGCTGGAGGGGAAGGGATGTACACCATCTGAGTTATCCATGGTTGATTGAGAAGCCCTATGCTGATTTTTCTTATAACTTGAAGTGTTTCTTTTAGATGGCCAAGTGGGGCATTCAGATATTATATTCCCATGTTGCTTGCAATAGGCATAAGTGTTTTTCTTCTGGCTATGTGAAACAACACAACCATATTCTTTGCACTTATAACATTGTACCTTGTAAAGGTCCTTTGGTTTTGGTTGTTTGCAAAAGAAGCAGCTTCAGCCCCAGAGTCATGCTTCCCAAATTGATGGTAGACTAAGTATCCAGCCTTATTTCTTCCCTAAGAAGTTCCCCCAATATCATATCCAGACCTGGGGTGGAATCCCTACTCAGAATATTTGATTTAATCACTTCATATTCAGGCCTGAAGTGCATTAGAAAATGCATGATCTTCTTTCTATCAAAGTGCTCCTTCATTTTCTTGACAAACAAGCTGACAAAGAGTCCTCCGTGTGCATTAATTTGTACTCAGTCCATAAGTTGACAAAACTAGCATAGTACTCTTGGATCTTCTTCTTCCCTTGAGTGTAGGAAAGATCTCTGTTTCAATTTGATATTGTCAAGAGAGGCTGGACTGCTGATAGACCTTTTGCATGTATTCAGTCATTTCCTCTGCAGTCTTGAAAACCCCTCATTGGAATGGCTATGTCAGTCTTAATTGAGCCAAGAATCCATGATGCTATTCTTGCATTATCTATCTTCCACTGGTTCATCCCTTTGCTGTCCAATTCATCAGGCTTGACCACCAAACCATCTATATAACCCCAAAGGGCTTGCCCCTCAACATGGAACTGGGAGTGAAACTTCCACAGAGCATAGTTGCTTCCATCAAACTTGACTGACAGCAGTTCCCTCTTGTCTAAAGCCATTTCAGCAAAAATAACACCAAGAACAAGTGTTGTAACAAGTAAAAAGGAAAGAACAGACTTTAAATCACTCAAAACTGATCTGATTTAATGGAGAATAATCAGATTTCCTAAAGAAAATGCTCTCAAAAAACAGTAGACCAAGTAATAGTCCAAAAAAGGAAAGTCTAGAGTCGATTCCAAGAAAATTAGAAACCCTACCAGCAATGGTACAACCACCAAAACAGTGATATAGGGAGAGAGAGGAAGTCTGGGCCACAGCAGATCTGGTCAGAGTTATCTGAACAGGTAGGAGTGAGATCTGAAACAAAACCCTGACCTGTTGTCTCATCTTCTACAGGAAACAGCAAGAAAAGGGACTGATCAAAACAGTCCCTGGTAGATAACCAAAAACTTCAGCAACATAACAGTCCTATAATGTACTTTAACCGAAGCAAAACAGCAGCAAGAGAAAAGCTTTCAGCAGATCCATGTTGGAAGTTGCTCTGATACCATGGTAGAGACAGTTCAAAAGAGACAGTAGAAGTTGAATGGGTGTGCCAATACATCTACATGCCCGAAGGATTTGCATTATAGATCAAAATTTCACATAAAAGTGAAAGGACCATTGTGCCCTTCACTAAAACAAATAAGAAATACGATAAGTTTACAAGAAAGAATAAAACATACTGTACAATAAGGTACAAGATAAAATGCTACTCCCAACTGGTCAGCCCATAATATCTCTACAATTACACTCTCTTAGGACTGGATATCAATTGTTCTGTGTGGTGCTTGCATCTGATTATGATTTGCTTATCCTAGATAGTTCATACTGTGCTGGTTTGGTATGCAGTGGGTTGATTGTGTTTCACAGTTGCTTCGGATGTATCCTTTTGCTTTTGAGTTTTCCTCGGTATGTAGCTTCCTTTGATTTGTGAAATTTGAAGCATATCTAATGAGATATCTGAAAACTATTTCTTGCTTCATTTTGGATAAGTACTTGCTGATCTTTTGACTCTAATTTTGTTATCCAGGCGTTCTTGGTTGATTTCTTGGATTGCATGCTTTCCTGTCGTTTTGGAAACTTCTTATGCAATAGGTACTCTCATCTTTCACCCCAAGTATCCATCCATCATTTCTAAATTTTGTATTTCCTCATAGCATACAATATGATTTTAAGATGTTAATTGAGAAGAGATGTTCGTTAAGGTTATATCCTCAACATAGCTTTTTCTGCTATCTTAGTCTAGTCATAAAGAATTAAAGTTGAGTAGGAATTTTCTTGTAGAGGTAGGTCGATTGATGGAATTAATTTTTTTGGTCATACTTACTAATGACATTTCATCAATGATCACATATGAAAAAGAAGGGAAATTCTTACTCTCTGGAGAAAGAGGATCTTTCAAAAGAAAATAAGACAATGATAATATGAAAATACAAAAGAACTTCCCATAGTGGTAAGAGATCCTGATGGGTTAGCTTAGAAGTACATATATGTCAGAACATTTTGATACAAACAAAGATTTTGATGGTTTATCCTGAAGTCTGTGTTGGTTTGAAAGAAAAGGTAATGAAACCCGGTACTTTAACTATTAAACTCTCTTTAATATAGACACTCCTTGCCTAGTCTGTCAGCAAGTTAACTGGGTGATATTGGGATCCTTGAAGAGTCCTTTATCCTTAGACCCAAAGTTCTAACCTCTCCAATAGAACATTTGAAAGCTATGTTAAATGGGCATGACAAAGACAATAGGAAATTTATGCCAAAAACTGAAGTGTTTGACATGGACATGGCATCCATTTTGAAGTGTCTATGGCTCTATCCAACATAGCTCTAAAGGCAAGATGGCTCTTAAGACAAGGTTATTTTGAAAGGTTCTATATCTATCTAATGTTTTAAAAGGATACACAGACAAGGCTGCAAGATGCATTTTAAGGTAGGCACCTTGCTTGAACCTAGGCAATATCCATTTCAATAGATGTGCATTTGAGTCACTTCGCACCTTGGCCCAGGAGTGTGGCTTCTATAAATTTTCTTTTTTGTTTACTTTTTATACATTCTTATGTATTTTGCATTTTTATAATGGTTTATTAACTTTTAAATTACCTTTTGTTGGTGTTTCTGCATAGGGCTGCAACTTGAGCCAGATTATCCCAAACCCAACCCATAAAAGTTGGGTTGGATAATGGGTTAGGGTTGAGGCCTCAGCCTATCTGACCGAATCTGAACTCAACTTCAAATTTGTATGTATAAATATTATATAAACATGTATTTATGTTTGTAAGTACTCATGTAATGTATCTATGCATGTAAATACTTTTAAGTTTTGAAGGCGAAATTTTTGTAAAGCATGATAACTATGTCCTTTTATACATATGATAATGCTAAAACTTAATTGACCCCAACTCTTGATAAAATGAAAAATACACCATTTACAGTATATCAAATTGTTGAGAAAATAAAAAACACACCATTTACTTGTTTATTCTTTTGACACCATATGTTTCTGTTAGTTACCAAGCATATGGTTCTTACTCCCAAGAATGCAAAATTACAAAGGGCTAGCCTTCCCTCTTTATTCAGGTCGAATTTAATTGACTTTTACAAATTTACCCTTTGTAAGAATCAATTATTTTGGGGATCTATCTCCGAAGCTGGTATCCTCCAGTCAGTCAAGGGTTGCATATGAATCAATTATTTTGGGCTCATTTTGTAATTTTATGTCTTTGAGGCTGCATCTCGCACCTCTTTGTGGGAAGCCATCATTATGTATCTCTCTTTATTGATTTTTAATAAAGCATCTATTACTTATTAAAAATAAAAGAAAAAATAGGAGCCTGTAAATTAGATATACAGGCAGATCTATAGCAGCATTACAGTAGGTCAGATATGTTTGTGGATTATATATATGCATTCTAGGATCATAACCAACCTTGGTTGCAATCATCTTGTTTCTAAACATTTTCTAGGGCATTCATCAACAAATAACAGATGTTTTTGCAAGGAAAATGTGACTGCTGTATTCACCATTTTGAGATATTGAAGTGGCATGCCTATTCCTCTGATGGTTATTGAAATTTCAGTGAAAAGGAGAGGCACCAAGCCAGTGTTTCTGATGCTTGTGGGTGCTTATGGGTGTACCTGGCTGAGTTGCGTGTTTCTGAGGGAAGTTTTCATGTACATTATAACCTCTTCTATGATCCATTGAAACACGATGGTTCACTATTACCTCCAGCTGCTGCACTGGCTCCAACATTGTGGCCCCAATTCCATCTTCGCTGGGCCTGTCCGTCAGAAGCACAAGCAGGAGAGCTTGAAGCTCAATGTCGGAGCATGGCTAAAAGATACTCTGAAATGAAGAAGGTAATTGTGAACTTAGGTTTGTTGCACCTGTTCTGAACCTCCTCCTCCTCTCTCTTTCCCTTATTCTTTAACTGATGATACTAAGCATATCAATTTGAATTATGTATTGGTGGCTACACTGTAGCTGTACACACTGTTTTGTCACATTAAATGGCGGGATATCTTGGTTAAGGATGTAGCCTAAAAATTATACGACATGGATATATTAATCCACTACTCCAGAAAAGGCTAAAATTGGGTTATTAGGGAGGACATATTTAAAGCCTGTAGTAAAGATTCCGAAAACTGATGGCATAAATTGCCAAGACTTTTGGGTTAAGGTAGTTCTTGCAAGTGAACGATGTTCGTAAGGGTGCAACTTGGGTTGGGTTGGGTGAGCATTTGTTAAATTTTGAATGTGACTAAGTCAATGTGGTTGAAATTCTTCAAATTGGGCAATCTGATTTGCACCCCTAGTTGTTCAAATAGATGCACGAGTGTGTGACATTTCATTTATCATGGGCACAGTAAGCCTCTGCCTAGGACTAACATTTATTTCGCATATCTCACTATCTTTTAACAGTCTCTTACCGAGATATCTGGCAAATTGGAGCAGTATATTATCTTTTAGCATCACTTTCTAACTATCCAGACCAGAAGAAAGATACAAAAAATTTTAGATTTTGGCAGTGAATATGTAAACCGTTGTTTTTATAAATTATTAAAAGCTTGCTGATGTGCAATTTTCCCTTTTTTTTTCTTTGCATGGAGAATACAGACAAAAGAAGTAGCAGAAAGGAAGGCTAAAGACATTACAGCTAGTATGGAATCCTTAACTGCTGAACTACAAAAAGAGAAGCAGCTAAGCTGTGCAGCTATGGACTTGTCTAAGAGGGCCTCCAGGGAGAATGCAGCCATAAAGCGGGCAATACAGTCGCTAGGATGCAAGATTAACTTCTCAAGCAATAGTGACTATGCCTTGGAAATTGGAAGCACTCCAGATGAAATACAGCAGAAATTTTCGTCTTCCCCTTCAAGGAGAGACCCAGACGGTAATTGGCAGGGGGAAGAGAAATCAGATCTCTCTGTCTCTATTTCTCTTTTGGCAGATGATGCTATTTCCAACAACCCAATCAGTCGAGCATGCGGAACACAGTGCCCATTACGCACCAGAGAAGGTGGTTGCAAGTGGCCAGATGGCTGTTGTGCGCAACTTGGGAGCCAATTTGTTGGATTAAAAGCAAATTTTGATGCATTTGATCGGCTTTCTATTTATGACTGCTATTTTGGGTCAGAATAGGTGGCTGTCCCAAATTCTTGACTGGATCTATTCCAGAGTCTAACCAAGCTCCTCACTCTGGAGACAAATTCCTTGCAGCCATATCCAACTTAGGATTTTTTTTTGAGGAATCAAATGGAGTTCAGAGTTCAATATTTATGGATGTGCTGCAGTTTTCCTACTAATTTTTATATAGGGTGGAGAATGAGCAGAAACTTAATTGTATCATAAAATTTTTGAAGAAAATAATCACCTGAGATGGATCAAGGCATTCAGGAAGGGTATCTATCACCTTGTGTACAGATAGAACGTAGAGCTAATTGTAGACCACCAACCAATATGCGCACTAAAGCTGAGGGCCATTTTATAATGGTTGAGCCACTGTTCCATGCTCAACTACATTATTGTTCCAGAATTATTTTTGGATCTTCATTCATTGTGTTCAGCCCAGGGCTAATTGTGGATCCCATCTTTTATTGATACAACTGATTTGTGTATATAGAATCTAAATGTGCCAATTATTTTATTTGTACAGACAATTTTGTTCAAACCTTTTGGCCTGAACGCTTCCTTGTCTCATTGAGCATAGTTTTAATCATCATTGTTGTAGCCATTTTGAGTTGATGCATCATGTTTAATAACTCAACTATTGCTCGAGTCGTGTCAAACTGGTGACTGTCATGGAAAGTTGATCTTACCCATCTATATTTGTATCTCTTGTTGTTGTACTGCATGAAAACACCCCAGTTTAGCAGACAAGGTCTCTTTATGTAACATTTGCAGATTTCCTCAGGATCATTTGGTCACTCTTTATGGTATGTAGCTGTATAATCTATAATTAGAATTCAATTCTTTCTCATTATATAACCAAGCATTTTGCACTGATAGATCAGCCTGAAAAGTTAGCTAGTTAAAGGAATTAATGAAAAAGATATTATTACTTAACAACCAAAGCTAACAGCTCTTAGAGATGATTGGGTTTCTTGTTATGGCATGTCAGGCTCTGGTTGGGTTTCAACCAGCTAAGCCGTTGCAAAATGTGTAAAACTGAAACCAAAATCTAAAATCCTTTTCTGCAAAAAATCTAAAACCTGAACGAGCAGGCTTGAATTATTGATTGATTCATAGAATGCTGGCTTTCTAATAACCTCAACAAATAATGAATAAATAAATGGCAGGTTTCAACCGAAACCAATGGCAATTTTCAATGTGATACATCTAAATTACCAGTGAAATCCCGTATTAAATGTGATTGATTTTTCAATCCAGGGTTGCTACATTTTTGGCTCCCTTGTTTACGTGAATGTTGCTGCACCACGTGGCTACTATCTGCACTTTACTGACCAGTGATAAGAGATGCAAGGCGTCACTCTCTACTATGTTGAGCTTGTTAGAAAACAATGGAGGACTAGAATCTCTCCAGGTCCAGGGGCTCAACCGAGTCTCCTTCTTAGTTGCTGGACAAAAGCAGTGACTTACAGAGCGTCCATCCCCAAGAGAGTGTATGATTTCTTTGAAGAGAAACTCGTTGCAGGGGAGAGCAAGAAGACCACTGTGGTTGTGGCCATACTCTTCATAGGCTTGATCTAAGAGCTGCCTGAATATGGGGTGATTTAAGTAAGAGGTCCTTATGATAAACCTCCGACCAGAATCACCAACGACCACAGCCAAATGGCCAGGAGGGACATCATGGGGCACTTCCTTCTTCCCTCCTCCGGCAATCTTGCGCCACAACTCTGCAATTCGTCTAAGCCAAATGACAATGCAGACGCCGGCGCTTGGGCCGCCCTTCACCCTCTTGGCAGGAACAGCCATATGGTTGTGTCCTGTTGGGTAGCAAGCTCTACTGCTCAAAGTATACTTATCAAACATTTGATGATGAGAACACAGACAGGGCTCTCAAGATGTAAGAGAAGGATGTTATATATATAATATTAGAACGATGATGGTAACCATGCATGAAGAAAGGGAACCCACCATGTTGTATTATTAGGAGCCAATTGGCCGTCTGTCATGTGTCCTCACGTGTGGTGCCCCCAAGAAGGACGGGCATCCCTTCTGTATGGCACGTTTATGGTACATGGTTAGGGATGTAATGGAGGCTGAACTACCCTCCTCTCTTCATTTACTTTTGATTTCTTGTTCTTCTTTGTTTTATCTCTGTCAACTGTCATTTTGTGATGAGGTAATAGAGGGCCACTGCAAGGGAGATAGTTGTAACTGTCAAATGTCCTCCGATAACAGATCAAAGAATGACAAAGTGACTGAGGCAAAATAAGAATAATGATGATGATGATGATGGAGAGAGAGATTGGTTGATCCAATGGAATTTTGATAAGGATATGTTCAAATCCAATCCTGCCAATCACCAAATAGCTGAGTATAAAGGTATAAGATAAAAAAAAAAACTGTGTAATTGCAGGTTTTTCATCAGGGATTAGAGGGGTCAAAAGCTAATAAACATGGATTGAGGGTCAAAAATTAATAAACATAGATTGGCCAATATATAAGTGGGAATTGTGGAGATTTTTAAGTTATAGGGGGGCCATGGCTCCTCTATGCTTTCCACGGTAAGATTAATAGACCTCACATGCACCTGCTCTGTTCCCACCCCTTAATAAAATCCAAATATGTTCCCATAAAATATGTTGGAGATTCATTTTTTTTTTTTGATAAGTTGAGATTCAAGTTCAATTTGATACTCCTAACATTGAATAGAATTTGATTGATTCATTTACATATGCGGATATCCAATTTGAATCATATTTCAATTTAAAGCTGAGTAATACGAATAGGAAAAAATGGGTTTACCTAAATACCAAATTTCCGTTTAATACTATAAATAAAATTGGATCAGATCTTAGTGGATCGGATCAGGCAAAAGGCAAGAGCATTCAACTTTTGAAATCGATTCTATAAGATTATATGACTAAATGGATATCCAAATCTTACTCTAAACTAAGTGAATTCAAAGTAAATAAGATTAATTGAATATATTTTCAGTCTACACTCTACAGAGAGAGAGAGAGAGTGTTCACAAAGTGGGGCACAAGCAACCAAACATCCCCCAACTTGTTCTACCTAGAAAGGACAAGGGAATATTACATCCATACCTGACGAAATATGATTTTTAGCTACTATTTATAGGTTGGAATTTGAAATGTCAATCCTGTCTTTGATTGCTCTGTCTCGCTCCTCCAAAAGTTCTATTTTATCTTTTTACTGTTTCTTTTTTTTTTTTTTTAATTTCCTACCGACAGGCCTCGTGACATTTTTTTTGGATAAATACCTGGTGGCAATTTAAGCAGTACTCATTCAAGTATTCGACCAAAACTTTGTTACCGGAAGACTCAAACTTTAACTAATAATCATGGTGGACAAATATTCCATTTAACTTTTTTGAACAACCTCTGTACTTACATTCAAGGTTTTCATGAATAAGAACAGAATAGGATATACATTCCACAGTTAAAAATCAATATTTTTTTTTTCTTTGACGTTTCAAAATACTGGATCTTGAATTCAAATCAAGAGTCATTACTAGGTCGTCATCATCATCATCATTCATGCCTTATTATCCCAATTATATGAGGTTGGCTGCATGAATCCTATTTTGTGAATCTATTTTATTTAAAGCTATATCTACTGTTAAATAAGAGTCATGAGAAAGTAGGTTTGAGTCTGGTCATAAAGTAAATTTTTTAAGAATTGGCCCGGATCCAACGGTCAAACCATGAAAACGAGGAACCGATGGTCCGGAGAGCATTCAAGTTTTTACTCCGGTCCAAGTCTTAAAACTTTGCAAAAAATGCCCAAGTGTAAGAAGTATCAAGTCTACCTCTCCCAAGACCCTAAGACCCCAGATAGCTGAAACCAGCATTGGGTAAATGGCCTTTTTTTTTCCATTCTTGAGCTTAAATTAGAAGATAATAATAGAGACTAGAGAGAGGAGAACCTTAATTTGAGTCTTTGGCTGAAGATTTCATTTTGTAAGGCCTCGACTTGTCTCAAGGACAAAGATAGTCAGGCATCATCAGAATGAAAAGGAATAAATGAATTGATACTTCAGAGTTGGTTCAGACTTTTTATGTGCAATATTTCAGTTTTTGGTGTAAATTATTTCTGTAATTTTTAATTCCTTGTTACTATAAGAAAAGTAATTCTAACTTTCTATAACAACTAAAAATTCATCTGGTGTCTACAAAAGCGAGGAAGGCAAAGGACTCAGAACCCTCTGTGGCAGGCAATGGATTTGAATTCCAGAGAGGCAGAGACCAGCATCAACCCTGTCCTGAATCCAGATAAGCATGTTTTCCACACTCTTTCATCTTTTCTATATTCAGCTGAAGCAGATGAACTGAAAAGCCTTTTTACTTTGTCTTCTAGTGCTGAAGCTGAAACTCACCTTTGAATATTTTATTATTTCAGCAACTTCAGCCATTATCAAACGGCCCCTTGGACCATTCTAGAGTTTCATATAATGGTTGAAAATTTGAAATGACTGAAACGAATGGTTTATTGCTTTAAGCTCACAATCTTTTGGAGGTATAACAATCAACCCAAATTCAGACTCACAATCTCTTAATTTGCTCATTAAAAGAATAAATAAATAAGTCATTCAGTTGACAATCTATTAAAATGGCCAGTGGGTCTCATGTACACCTAGCTCCGTCTCTAGCTCAGACTCTCTTATGTATTATCTAATACTTAATAATAACAACAATAATAATGATAATGATATATCATTATAGATTTATGGTATGGTATAGTGTGAGAATCTTTGATTTTAAATATCCATCTCTGTACATAAGCATTTACTACATAATATCTTGAAGATCCCAGGCTTATCTTGTCAAAGTTTTGCCACTCTGAATATAAGATCATTTATGTCCATGGCTTATTTTTAAAAGAAAAGACATTTTGGATTTGGGTCTGGCTTTACTAAATAGTTAATTTAGTTGGGTTTGAGGCTGGAATTAATTAACAAGCTTCATTATTGATCTCAGGTCTTACTTTTGCTTGGTTTTGGCTGAACTCTTTTTATTTTTGGAGTCTGGGGTTGTAGACATATTTGCTTCTAATAAATGAATTTAGCCTAAATTAATCCACACATGGGTTTGATGGAATATGGTATTGTTGATCTTTGGTAATTTCATTTTTGGTTTGGCCCACTATTACTATGATATTTTGAACCAGCTATACTTAAGGATAGGACCAGTTCACAAACTTCATTATTGATCTCAAGCATGGGCTCCACTAGTCCTAGCATAGCTCTTGATTTATTAGTATGTTTTCTCCTTCACAACAAACCAATGTGCTCCAGTTAATTTAAAATGATAAAATATTGATTTAGTGGGCCATGATATTATTGATCTTTGATAATTTTATCTTGCACTAGTGGTAGTACTTAATACTAAAAAAACCTAATCCGTTGTTGGGTTCGATTTCTTCCATTGTTTTTCACTGTAAAAGGCCAGTGAAGTAACGAATGGACATCTTTTGTCACATCAAATTATGAGAAAAGAATCAAGCATTGCTTGACACTTGCCTGTTGGAATCAATATTTGTCTAACATACAGCAATGGATCCCACTAATGGGGAACCAGCAAATCCCAATGTCATTCTCACAATTGTCTTGTGAGTTGTGACTAAAAACCAAAGAAGACAAGGCTGAAGAAGAAAGAACCTATGGAGCATTTACAGAGATTCCATCTCAACCCTAGCTTGCAAGATAAAAAGGTTGGGCTCCTAAAATTCTCTGGGTCTCCCCACCTATGACTCAACCCACTGAC